ATTTATATGAAAGATGTAAAGTTTATAAGGTTGAGAAACATAAAAGCTTAAATTATCTGAAATGATGTTTTAAGATCTAAAATGATATTTTTAGGATGGTAATTACAAGTTATAACGAAAAGAATTTAGATAAAACTTGGAATAAGATAGGATAGATAATAGAGTATTTTCTCTAAATTTGCCAAATGCAAATGGTCTGGACATATAAATGTAATTTTTACCTGATAATTGTTTTTTCTTTAATTATTTTTATTTTATTTGCATTGGTGTTTTGCCTGCATGTATGTCTGTGAAGGTGTTAGATCTTGGAGTTATAGACAGTTGTTAACTACCATGTGGGTGCTGATAATTGAACATGGGTCCTCTGGAAGAGCAGTCAGTGCTCCCAACTGCTGAGCCATCTCTCCAGCCCCTGATAATTGTTCTTATTGTATATAGTCTTACTGTGTTAGTTAAAACTTTTTTTTTTATTTAGACAAAAAGGGGGAAATGTTGTGGAATATTCCTTTACACTGTGTAAAGATGTGTCATTGTCGCTGGTTTAATAAAAAGCTAAATGGCCAATAACTGGGCAGGAGGTATAGGAGGGTCTTCTGGAAAGTGATAGCTCTGGGAAATGAGAAAGGCAGAGTCACCAGCAGATACAGAGAGAACATACATGCAGGAGGAGAGGTAAAAGCCACTAGTCATGTGGCCACATGTAGATGAATAGAAATGGATTAATTTAAGTTGTAAGAGCTAGTGGAACAAACCTAAGCTATAGGCTGAGCTTTCATAACTAGTAATAAGTCTCTGCATCATTTTTTTGTGAACTGGCGGCCCAAAAGAAAAAAAAAATCTGTCTACAGATGTAAGACTAAAACAGCTATTAAACAACCTACCTGGAGGAGAGGAAGCTGCTCCTTCACTTAGCCCTCAGATGCAGAGCATAGATGATTTGCCCACAAGAACGTCAATGATCACCATCAACTTGAGGTTTCTAATCCAACATTGTCCTTAATTAATGTGATTGTGCTACCCCACCTCAATTAATTCCATGGGATAGAAAACCAATATGCTAAAGAAAACCTTGTTGGGTCACAAAAGGGACTGAGCCAAAATTAGAGTTCATCTTCGTGGCAGACAGATAAAAGAGGCCAGCCATACTAATGTCACAGTCAACAGAAAAATTTGCCCCCAACCAGTGGAGCTGAACATTTTGGGACTTAAGAGCCGTGATTTGGGAACTGCAGTAGTTTGAATGTAATTGGCCCCCATAATCTCATAGGGAGGGGGAGTGGGTAGACCTTATTGAAGGAAGTATGTCACTGTAGGGGCAGGCTTTGAGGTTTTCAATGCTCAGGATACCATCCAATGTGTCAGTTAACTTCCTGTTGCCTGAAAGATGCAGGACTCTCAGCTACTATAGCACCACATCTGCCTGCAGGCCACCATGCTCCCCATCATGATGATAATGGATTGAACCTCTGAACTGTAAGCCAGCCCCAGCCCCAATTAAATGTCTTCTTTATAAGAGTTGCCATGATCACAGTGTCACATGCTGCCACATGATCACAGCAATAGTAACCCAAAGACAGGGATGAAGAGTCAGATCACCTTTGCCCTGTTCTCTCCTACATGTTTCTGAGGCACCAAACTCACTTTGTAGATGCCATTTTGCTCCTATGCAAGTTGGAGGCAAATGAACTATCAGGGGAAAGGAATTACCGTATACTGCTGGAGGAATTCTGACCTCAGTAGCAGAGGCCTTTGTGCACTTCACCTTACATAATCATGCCCACCAGGACTTCTGCATAATTGCATGATTAATGGGCCACACCCTCAGCACTTTGTACTTTCTGTTGGGTATGGTTTATCTTATTAAAGACATGACGTGTGTATGTCCACCTGTCATTGAAATGAGTAAGAAATCTCCAAATACCAAAACACCTCCTCTCTTGTTTGCAAGTGATTGTTTGCATTGTTTGTGTTTTTAATTAGAACTCAGTGTGGCCATCTGTCTTTGACCCTTGCTGATCATTGGAGTTACTACTTTACTTCAAGGAACATAAACACATCTCCAATTTCTTTGTATGTATTCATAACTGCATTGTTCTAGCTTTCTGCAGGCAAAGAGAGGTCTATGGGACTGACAATATCTTATTTTGCCCTTTATCAAGGAGAATAGCAAAATTAAAGAGTCATCAACAAATTTAAGAATTTCCTCTCTGACATAGACCCAGAAGAGCCAACTTCCCTTGACTTGGCAATAGTTGGGACCCATGGTCTTGTTCTATCCTCCAGGAAGACCTAGTTATGCTGGTTGGAGTGATACCGATCATCACTTTGGTTCACATGGTCCTGTCAACTGTCAGGCTGGCAGGATCTAGAATCTCCAAAGGGATGGACCTCTGGGCATGCCTGTGAGGGACTATCTTGATTACATTAACGGATGTGGGAAGACCCATCCGAATGTGGGTAGAACCATTCTCTGGACAGAGAAGAGGGTGCCAGACTGAGCACTAGCCCACATGCATTCACTGTGCTCTTCTCTGACAACAGATGTCATGTGACCCACTATATGGAGCTCCTGCTGCCACAATCCCCGGCAGGATGGACTATACCATAGTTAAGCCTTCCTCATTAAGCTGCTTTTGACAGGCTGTGTTATCATAGCAACAGGAAAGGGAATAAAGGCACTGGCTCTTCACCCAGCTCCGTAAAGCCCTACCCTACCCATTTGAACCCTGCCAGTTGAGAGTGTCTCACCATTGTGCTTTGAAAAATCAAAGGCTGACAATGAAAAGTCTTGTTCCAGGCCAAGATCCTAGGTAGGAACCTTCAGGCCTGACCATAGGCAATAACAAAAGTTTTTACCTGGCAGCCTCACAGGAGAAAACCAATGCCCAGCATGATTTTTTTTTTTTAATTTTAAAAACTATAATTACATCATTTACCTTCTTCCTTTTCCTCCCCCACATCATTTCATGTACCCTTCCCAGCCCTTGTACTCTCTTAAATTCCTGACCTTTTTTTCTTTAATTGTTCATACACACACACACACACACACACACACACACACACACACACACACTCCTAAATGTATAAATACAACCTGCTTAGTCCATATAAAGTTACTTGTACATATATGATTTGTGATTTCAGGGCTGAGCCCTTGGTATTGAATACAAATGGAGGGCACTCTTTTCTAAGGAAGACTATTTCTCTCACTTAGTTGCCTGTACATGTGAGCATGCCTGCTAGTGTCATCCTTGTTTGCGCCCTGTTTAGGAGGCCACGTTGATGAGATTTCCTGAGTGTTGCTTCTCTGGCATTTCCAGGAGACCCATCACATCAAACCCCCTGTTCCTTTAACTCTTACGATCTCTCTGCCCCCTCTTCCACAGTGATTCTGGAGCTTTGGGTACAGGAGTTGTGGATGCATTAGTGAAGCCGGGCCCCACAAGATCTCTTGTTCTCTGCACTTTGATTGAATGTAGTTTTCTATAGTGGCCTTTAGAGAGAAATTTCTTTGGTGAGAAGTGAGGACTATACCATATATAGACATAAGTGTGCATATTTAGAATATATTAGGAATACACTCGTCTGGCAAGGCTTTCAGTACCAGATAAGATTTCCCTCTTGTTGAGCAGACCTTAAGCCCAGTTAGAGAGTCGTTGGTTACCATCAAGACATGTACACCACTGTTGTTATTGTGTCTTGCTTGTCGTTGTTGTAACCTACGGGCATCATAGCTGGGTAGGCATTTCCCCAGCCACCACCTCAGGCTGTTAGATAAACTACCTGCGTTGGGCTTGTGGGTTCAGAGCTATATGTGCACCTGGCAGACAAACTGGGATGTGGTATAGCAGCATGTTCCAGACCATTTTTAATCCAGACTACTGCCCAGTTCTAGAATTATAAATAAATCCAATTAAGATTTGAAAGAAAATGAGCTAAGAAATTTCCTTTTCCATAGCTTGTCACTGCCTCAATAACAGAAAAAAAAAAATGATGTGCTTAAATTGACAATGCACTTGTTTTTTGTTACTTACTAAATGAAATGCAGCATTGGCCTTTCCATGCATAGGGATTCTCACTACTCTGGTGCTCACCTACTTGTGTGTGAGTACTTTTGTTGTGTGTGGTGTATGAGGTGAGGGTGCACACACCTGTGCATGCACCCAGAGGCCAAGGAAGGTGAACAGTGTTTCCTTCTATCACTCTCTGACTATTCCTTTGAGGTAGGGTTTTCCCTGGACCTGAGGATTGGGTTTTCTGAGGGAGGCTGGCAGCCAGAAAGCCCCAGCAATGCCCCATCTCCGTGCCGTTGGAGCTGGAATTGTAGTCACTGGTAGGATGTGAGGTTAGGACAGTGGGGTCAGACTCTTCACTCCTAAGCCATCACTCTCATCATCAGTGCAATGACAAGAACATGTAGTGAAATCTCCCCCTTGGACATTGTAGGTATGTGTTACAGATTTGTCAGTTATTAGTCCAGTGGTGCAGTGTATTTGTGAAGCATGTTCATCTTGCTAAGCGGAAACTTGATAACCATCTGTCAGGGACTCTTTCCCCCACTTCCCAGCTCCTGACAACTGTGGTTCCACTCTTCAAGTCTATAAATCTAAAGCTGGGGTGTGTCTTAGTAGGTGAGTTCTTGCCAAGCCTCTAGGCCATAATTTTCAGGCCCAGCATTGCATTTGATGGAATTTCCAGAAACATTTCGATCATGAAGACTCTGACCTAAGGAACGGACCAACTCACTGAGACTGACTCATAGATCATGGTGCTGTTGGGACTGGTGGAAAGAAGACGGTGGCACCTCGTTGAAAGAAGTGAGTCGCTGCTGACATTTTCTTACCCTGGTGTTGTGTACCAAAACTTTTCCTAGGAGATGCAATACACATGTCTACTTACTCCACATAAGAAACTGATGGCAGACCAAAGCATAGATATCACCAGAGTCCAACTTGGCGAACCAATGAATTTTATTGTGATACTTACAGGAATATGGGTGAGGGGTTCCTTACATGAGTAGAAATGACTCCATGGCAGCTGCAGCACCAAAGCCCATCCGAGCATGGGTGAGAGCTCACAAAGCTGGGAACCTGGAGCATGCTGTGCATCCTGCACACCGTCACCAACTTGGACACAGTCCTATCCAGGTGCCTCGGTTGGTCTAAACCTTCCAGGCAGCTCAGTCGGTTTCTGCCTCTTCCAGGCAGATGCTCTGGTCTCAGAGTCTTCCCTGCAGCTTGGCTCTGGGAGTGTCCTTTTCCACCCTTGCATGGTGCCTTGTGGGCTTTTGTTGTTGTTTCCTTTGAACCAAGCCCTGCTTGGGTTGTAGGGTTGGTGAAAATACATCACATCTGGTTGTGTCTCCAAATCTGCAAAACACTCAGGGATTAGCATTATATCACTATATAACAAAACCTTCCCAGAGAACAGACAGGACAAAGCAACATCCTGAACCACCATCCCATAATAAATATAACCTTGGTGGCGTGCCATCAAAGTCCTTTGTCAGGTGACTCCAGAAGTTCATGACTAAGAAGTAGATACTGAAGCAGAACATGATCAATGTCTAAAACAGTGCAAAAAGGTTCCAGTCATTTCTGTCAATCGCTTATTCCACAGATCCAAGTTGCATACAAGGCATGGGTGGGGTGCTATTTACTTAGTTCTCTGTAATCTGCAGCCTTTCTCTCTGACTCATTACATTTACAAATCCTGAAGCTCTTCCACAGAGCCTCTACATTTCTCCACACCTGAGAAACTCAGTGGGCCCGACTTAATCTGCTCAAATCTACCACTCAAGGCCAAGGAGGAACACAGTATTGCTCTCTCCCCTGAGCTCCCTGGGGTGGCACTCTTGGATGTCGCTTTAGCAGTTGCCTCTTCATTCACAACCCATGGCTCCTAGGTGCCACTACGAATGCCGTTTCGGTGTCAGGAGGACTCCGGGAATATCTGTGAGCTACTCTAAGATCATTTGCTTTGCCAGGCATGGTGGTACATGGAAGTAGGTGGATCTCTGTGAGTTTGAGGCCTGCATAGCAAGTTCAGGGTCAGCCAGGGCTATGTAGTGCGGCCCTGTCTACAAACAAGCAAACAGAAACTACAAAATCCCACAAGACCACTTATTTGCAGGCTTTTCCCGTCAGAAAGAAAGGGGGCACGTGCACAGGGAGCTAAAAGGGACCTCAAGTCCCTCTAAGGGGCTCTGAGAATAAAGGTTCACTGATACGGCAAAGAAGACCCAGGTTTCACGAGCTTCTCTTTGTTTATCAACAGGCAAATGCTGTGCCAGGCATCTCTGAAGGACACCAAGGCACCAGAAACTTTGCAGGCCTGATAAAGTAGGAGCTCCCCAATGTAGTGACCACAGAGGCTAGGAGTCACCAGAGGTGTCCCACCTAAGGGGATGCCCTTGCTCAAAAAGCATAAAAACTGCAAAGACAAAGGAAGGAAACTGGAGGTGTGGCCACAAGCCAATGCAAATGATCCCAACCAACGTACAAGATACCCAAGGACCGGGAGAAGACATAGAAAGAGGAAGGAAAACTTTCTACCTTCCTTTTTTTTTTTTTTTTTTTTTTTTTTTTTTTGGTGAGATAGGATCTGCTATTGTTACTGAACTTGGGGGGTCACATCCTGTGCCCCAAGCCAGGTTAGCTACCTGTCCTTAACAAGACAACAGAAAGAGACAAATCAATGTGGCCATGTTGGGAAGAGGGACCAAGAAATACAGAGGCCCCCACAAGCCCATCTTCCGGGGCCCTGAAATGAGACTGAAGTTTAAATGAGGATCAAGGATACACACATCTAAGCAGTCCAGGTTAAGCTGTGGTCCTGCCCACCACTGACCATCATTATCCTGGCTTCTGGCTCCTCATGGAAAGTGGTCTGACAAGCTGTTAGAATTGTGTGAAATCTCTATGGGTGTAATCTTTTACTGCCCTAAATGTGAAACCCCCAAGAGAAATTCCCATTTCTTTGGGGCTCCTTGTTTAATAATCTGGTAGTCTAACTGAGAGACATGAGTGTCTCTTTTGAATGTCTTTATTTCTGCCAGGACAGTTTTACTATGTAACCCACACTGGCCTGGTATTTATAGTGTAGACGAAGCTGGCCTCAAAATGGTAGGCATCCTCTTGCTATAATCTTGGCAGGAATGAAGCTATTCTATCTAAAGTGCCGTTGTGTCCCTTGGTTTATCAGTCCATTGAAGCAATGGTCCCGACTCACAAGATGGCTCAGCTTGCAAAGGAGCCTGCTACCAAGCCTGATAACCAGAATTTGATCCATGCTGCCCACATGACTTCCAGCAATAATACACACACACACACACACACACACACACACACACACACACACACACACAGGCTCTCCATGAAATTAGAATTTCCCTAGGAATCTCATGCTGGGAGACAGAAAAAAATAAAGCCAGATGCCAGCTAGTGGGGGAACTTGTTTCCTCGAGAGAGATTTCACACACTTCTGACAAGTTGGCAGACTGCAGGATGAGAAGGCAGCCCAGTCAAGGAAGGACCAATGGTGGGCGGGGCCACAGTTTGACCAGAACTTCTGAGTTATTTATCCCTCTTATCCTCCATCTAAGCCAAAGGCTCATATCAAGATCCCAGATGGACTTCGGGATCACTGCCTCTCTTCATTTGTTTCTCTTCCCAGCATGAACACACTTGCATACATCTTTTTTCTCTGCTTTTCAGTGTTACTGATCTCTCTAACTGGCCTATTGAGGTAACTAAGCCTCACTTGTTAGGAATGTCAGTGCCCAGGCTGTAACCATACCTATGCTGGTAACACTGCCTCTCAAATGCTGGGACTACAAATGCGTGTGCCTGGCCATCCCTGAACCTAATTACTATCTGTATAACCCTTTCAAAAGTTTGTCATAATCAAGAAGTAAAATGTCTGTTGGAAACTGGGGTTCAGAAATGTCTGTGCCAGCTGGGCTGCAGGAAGATGTAACTCTCTGTGAAATTATTTCAAAGTCTTCAAGCGACTGCCCACATATCAAGGCATATTTGTTCAAATAGAACAACTTCTCCACAGGTCTTGAAAGATACCCCAAAGCTTCTCAGAGCTATTTTGGGGGTTCCCTTGTTTGCAGCCCTACCTCAGAAGAATACCATGCTGACCTCTCCCCCTTTTCTGTTTGGCCCTCTGCTTTATGTTGTCCTGGCTTGAAAGGCTACCTCCAAAGTGAGACCACCCTAACTGATCCATACACATAGCCTAAAGTGTATGTATAGTTACTTTTTTGTTACTGTGATAAAATACTATGACCAAAGACAACTCATAGTGGGAAGAGTTTATTTGACTTACGGTTCCAGGAGAAAAGAATCTGTCCTGGCAGAGAAGCAAGGCGGCAAGCCTCAGGCAAGCACAGCTTCAGAAGAAAGAAGAGAGCGCCCATCTTCAAATGCAAGCACAAAGCAGAAAGAATGAACTAGAAATGGTGTAAGGCTTTTAACCTCAAAGCCTATCCCCGACAATATACTTCCTCCTCCAAGGCTTCATTACCTAAACAGCCCCAACCAATGGGAACCAAGTTTCAAATACAAGAGTCTATGGGGAACATTCTTTTTTCTTTTTCTTTTTTCTGAGACAGGGTTTCTCTGTGGCTTTGGAGCCTGTCCTGGAACTAGCTCTTGTAGACCAGGCTGGCCTCAAACTCACAGAGATCTGCCTGCCTCTACCTCCTGAGTGCTAGGATTAAAGACATGCACCACTACAGCCTGGCTATGTTACAAAAACTACTACAGTGTCTCTTGTTGGAGTTTTGTTTTGTGTTTTGTTTGTTGCATCTTCATATAGCCTCCCTGAAGTGCTCCCAAGGTTTTTAAGGTTATTTGGTGAGATTCCAAAATACCTCTCCCTGACCTCCTTCTAACCACATCAGACCTGGCAGCCAGGCTAAGCTAAACATGCCCCTAAGAATCAGTGGCAGAAACAAAGACTTCTGCTGTCAACTCTAATGTTCACCTTTGCTGGTGTCTTCCAGCCAAATTAAAGCCGGAAGATGCAGAACCCCTACCCCCCACTGATGTGTAAGGCAACACTTTCCAGCCAGATCTCTTGAGAAACTAGTGAAACCGTTGATTTAGAGATGAAACAAAGGAAATAGAAAGACATGGTTCACCTGTGTCTAAGCCTGAGGCAGAAGGTCTATTTGCTGAAGGCCTGTGCTCTCTGATTCAAAAACAGAAAGTTAATTCACTGTGCTGTATGTTTAGGATGTGTGTCTGTGATATAGAAATGAATACTTTATATTGGTATGGATTTTTATTTACTGATATAAGTCTAAGGTCAATTTTGCTATATGTATTTTGCTTATATATTTTTTATACAGATATCATAAAAAACATAATATATAATTACATAAGATGATAGTCCCCTGTAATAGTCAAAACTTACGTTAATTAGGTTTTCTAAATATACAGAGATATATTTGAGATGGATACATAGTCTTCAAACCTTTCAAAGACCTACAGAATATGACATTTAAAATGGTTTAGGGTTTTTCTTTCTTGACAGTGAGACACAACTGCTCCTGGCAACACCGATTACTCCAGAGAGGAAGATGGGCATCGAAGACACTTGTTATGGGGTTTGACTTCAACATGGCAAGACTTGCTATTTGGGGAAGAAACTGCTCTCACCTGTTTGACTTTATGCTGTGTAAGGTGGACATGCAGGACCCACAGGAAAGTGACTGCTGAATTTGACAAAACAGGAGGGGTTCCTGCTTCATGGAAGAGTCTGCCAGACAGTCTGCAGGACACAGAGAAAAGTGACCAACAAACTGCCAATACAGATGGACAGTTTCAAATTTCCTGCTTTGATGAGAAGTCTGCCAGACACACTATTGCCTTTGGGCCAAAGATGGATGCTCCAACATTACAGAGAAACTTTGGATGACGTCCAGTTAGAGGGATGTCTCTGACAATTTTAGAGTTTATATATTATCCTTCTCTGGTCTTTGATAGCATTGAAGACAGCTAGTTATGGTTACGATTTTCATTAGTTATGGTAAGAGATAAATTACATATAAAACTTTAGACTCACAAAGATAGGATAGATGATAGAATATTTTCTTTAAATATTGATAAATATTAATGGACTAAATATTGTAACTATAATTCTTGATAACTGTTTTGTTGTGTATAATTATACTGTTAAAGTTAAAACCCTTCTTTTTATTTAGGCAGAAAAGAGTTTAGAGATGTCTTCTGTACATATGTTTCTCTTATTGGTTAATGAATAAAACACTGTTTGGCTAGTGGCCAGGCAGGAAGGATGGGCAGGGCTACTAGAGTAGAATTCTGGGAAGTGTAGGCAGGAAGGAGTCGTCATGTGA